GAAATGTTTACAGTGCAGACTTTTAAATGGAAGGTGATAAGTGTCATAGCTGTGAGCCGATCCTGAAGCGCTCCTTCTTAGGTTAGCCGTGGGCGACACACAGAAGGAGACATTGATCATGGCAGAAGGCACCCTTCAGCCCTCTTTTGTGCTGGTTTCTGGAGGATGTTTTTTAGGGTGGCTAAAACCATTTTTTTCAGTGTTTTATTAGCTGTGTCTTGACTACCTCCTACAAAGTGAAAGACAGTTTAGGGTTATTAAGTGTGTTCCTGTGCACATTTTTATCCATTGTTAACCCCCTCTAAATGCATGGGGGGGCACAGAACTACTCCTCCTTCCTCTCCATTGTTGCCCATATTTGTTAAAGAAGTCATTCTCTTTGACGTATGTTTAGGCTGCACTTTGATGAAATGCTGTCTGTGTTCCACTTTCTTCGCTTGGCACACAGCAGACTCCATAGATTTATTTCTCTTTGCATTATCTTATCTTCCTTGCTAGCATATTTGGGCTTCCTTTTCATATTCTAAGCTGTATTCTGGTGTGCAGACAGATTACCTCAGTAACTGTATACTAACGTGTAGCAGTGCTCTGCGGATAATATTTCAGGCTTCCACTATATACTTAACCCTACTAAATGACTAAGGATGTGTTTATATGTAATTCTTATGTTGTCTGTGAATAAGAAAAAAAAAGAATGGATTGAGTACTGAAAGTGATTTAAAGATCTAGGAACATTTCTTGTTGGTGGAACAGAACCAATTTCTAAAGCAGAGCAAATCTGGCCTCAGACTCCGGAGGCAATGTATTTATTGAAAAAGTAAGAATTCTCCACATGGGCATTTCAGCAGAAATAGTTAACTGCGCCCCCAGCTAGTCTCTCAAGCACACGTCACACGTTTCATTGGGGCACTGGAGTGTGGGTGCTCTATGGCAGTGTGTTCTCAACTGGGCTCCCGAGAACTGAACAAGGAGAGACGGAGGGTGTCGGGCTGGCCAAATGAAGCTCATCTTTACTAAATTGTGTTCAGGGTCACCATAAAAGAATACTTTTAGAGCAAAAATAATGGGAATAATTGCACAGAATTTAGCTCATAGTGATTTAAAATATTGTTGATAGCAGAACAAGTCTGTGGATTTTGTAAAGCAGGTTGTATAAAATACACTGCAGCGACCCTGCCAACCCAGAGCCTTGGCCTCTCATAGCTGCCTGTACAAAAGCAGCCAGCAACAGTCTTAACCTTTCCAAAAACCTTCATGGATGATGTGGTCATACATATCTTTATATGTTTTTGTTATCTTCTGATAATTGCTCCTTTAATTTAATGATCACAATTACTTACTATTAATCTCAATATATTTTAAGGGGGATCATATTAGTTTCTGACCAATATTTAGATGAGGGTTTCAAATGCCTGTAATTCTCATTAAATGAACTTTACTAGAGAGTTTTATAATTATACAGTGCAAGCATACATAAGGCATATTGATCAACCAAAATAAAAAATATGAAGAAACACGTAGATTATTTTTATGAATATTAATGTTGGTGAGTGGCCTTGAAAATGTTTTTATAAAAATTGTTTTATGAGCTATATTTGGCGATAACATCTATAAAGAATTAGAAACTAATATGCATTTTTAAACACTCAAGTGAGAATTAAAAATTAATTTATTGAGATTAAGTTTATAGCTCAGTGATATAGTCCTTACCAGGCACAATGCTCTGGTTCAATTCTTGTCAATAATAATGATGATGATATTATTATATTCATGATTATATCATTATTATTATCATTATTGTTGTTATGACTTTTAATAATATTATAAAAGGAAAAGTAAGTATTAAACCCTTAAGAACCTTGGGTTATCGACTCATGGGGAAAGGGAGGCTTTGAATGGTCAGTCTTTGGGTTATGGTAACATTTAGGGGTTGTTATTAAAGCTGTGTAATATCAAGCTTTGGAAGAGGAAAACAGGCAAAGGGGACAAAAGTAGACATAGAAAGCCTTGTTAGGAGATTCTTGACATTTTTCTAGTGGGAGTCAACCTAGATTGTCCTAGAGTTGCACATGTGAAAACTAGATGCCCCTATCTAAACATCAAGGCTGAGAATGATAGACAGAACATAAATAACTTTCCTGAAAACGTTTAAATGTACAAAGCTTTGGAAGCTTGTACCTGCTGTTTCTTGGTGAGTTGAAGGATTTCCTTATGGTACTTAACATTCACTCTGATGGCATGTTGTGGGAGGAAGGAACGACGTAGAAAGGGATAAACAGAGAACTAGTAAAGGTATGTCCACATCTCTCCCCTTTACCGTTCAGGCTCCTATTGACTGTTCACTCCTATCTCCAAAACTGTGGAGCGTTTGGGACTGCCTTTAGTGCGCGGGGCAGGCTGTCCCTCCTCCCTCTTGAATGTAGGAGATGAGAAGAGATCCTGTGCCAGAGATAAGGTATTTTACTGCTGACACAGAGAGATCACTGTTGGCATTTTTGCGTCTATTCCGTCTATTCCCTCTGCAACTGCTCCCACAGGCACCAGGTGAGCACATTCGTGCAGCGATTTGTATTGAAGGAGAGCAGCTCCGTTCTTAGGGAGCTTGAATACTTTGTTGTAGGCAACAGCATGCCTACCCATGGCTCATCACTATGATATGGCATAGTAAGCAACCCTACCCTTTGACTTAGAGAGAAACCACCATTGTCTCCAAGGCTCATTGCTATACAAGTATCCTGGCAAGACGAGAAGATAATACCTTTGCTTCTAAAATGGACAGAAACACAAGACTCCTGATGAGCAGTTTCCCAGAAAACTTAAATGTTTTTACATCGTGAAGACTTCTATCAGCTTTTTAAGGGCTTCATATAGCTATAAAGAAATATCCATAGGAATAGAGCACAATTTACCACAACTTCCTAACACCTATGGAAAAGAATAACATTGTTGATGTCAGCTTAGAACGGAGGAGTAAAATGTCGCCGTGACCTGTGTGTCATACCTAGGCCTGTTAGGGAAAATTACTAACACGGGAATAGATTGTAAGGTTGGAGTAAAATAGTTAAGCTTTTCCTGTCCTTTGGAGAAATTTGGTTCAGCCATTCAAAAATGTAAAATAAAAAATATTTACAGTTCTCAGCCACCACTTTTAAAAATGTATTTGTGAAGAGTCCATGAGGTATAAGCCTTAGATATGAACTCCAGCACATGGGCTTCCTCTGGTTTGGAATGTACACAGCTTCGTCAGCACAGCATGTTAGAGGAACATGCTGTAGCAGAGTGATGGGGAGGTCTGACATCTCAAGATGATACCTAATAACTCTGGTGGCCTGAGCTATAGTAGTTTTCATTCGAAAAGTGGAAACATTTCCTGATATGTTCTACTCATGCAAACATCAGCCTGAGCTTCTGGCAGAAGCTCTTACTGCCAAGCATTAGTAGAGGCCGGAAAGACCCATACATATCCCTGTCATGAAAATTGGTTAGGGGAATCAGAGATTCAAATAATGGCTCTCTTGTCCAAACATCTAGAAGAAAGCAATTTTGATGATAGGGACAAGAAAATACAGCCCAAGAGCATGAGCAGGTTTTAGTGTTGGGACTTACACGCATGCAAAAGTCCCAATATTGAGGCTCTCCTGAAGCTATGATGTCCTCTGAAGTATCTAGAGTGACCATCTAGGTGGTCACTTATGAAGAAGAGAAGAAATCCATGAAATATGCTCAAGAAAGCCATCTGCTTATCCAAAAATTGTCTGAGACCGTCGCAGGTTGCAATTTGTAACAAGTAAGTTTCTAAAAGGTGACTCTAAAGATGATGGGTGGGGGGGAGAACAACTTGAAACTTCCAGATAGTCAGTGGTCATAAATATATCCAGAGGAAAATATTTACTATTTAATTTTATTGATTATTAGTGTCTCTTTATGTGTTTGCATGTGTACATGCACATACATGCGCATTCTTGAATGCGTGCTGGTGAGGGTAGCATGTGTAGCACAGTGGACATGTGGAAATTAGAGGACAACTTTGTGAAGTTAGATTTCAGGAGTCTGAACTCAGGTTGCCAGGCTATGACCCAAGTACCTTTACCTGCTGAACTGTCTTGCTCTCTCTAGATTTCTTGTTTTGAAGAAGAAGGCCAATTATGTTTTTGAAGTTTATAAAAATTAAAAGTGAACTCATTTAATACTAGAACCAATCTGTTTGATCACCCATAGCTCTTTCTAGAAGCTGGAACTACCAAGCATAAATGAGGTCTTAAGTTGATAGGGCGTCACAGGTAATAAATATTCACTAACCTGTCAAGTGGGGAAGGGTACCATGGGAAAATTAAGTGGTAGGATGTGACAGAATTTAAACTGGGATTCAGGGTGGCAGGTGGGGCATCTCTGTGAGAGATGGTAACTGGAGAAACTTCTCTGATGAAGACATATTTTCCCTGGAATCTGGAAGCTGGGAAGCCGTGTGACAAAGGCCTCTGACATGAAAACAAGGTTCACATTCACTAAAGAAATTGAAAATGGAAAGGAGACCCTTGTGAGGATCTCTACCTGACATTGGAAGAGAAATGTCATATGAAAAAAAAAAAATCTCATGTGATAATGAATTTGCTGCCTGGTGTTTCTCTGGTGTCTTGGAGTCATAGAGCCTTACTGGCAGATAATGTATACCTTGATGGATGGATAGAACTGTGTTAGGGATCGATGTTTATCGTGATTCCTTCCCATTTCTGATTTGTAGCCGTGTTTCTGAAGCCTTTGAAAGAACCCTCTCTCTAACGATAGAATGCCCATTCTTAATGATTCTGACCCAGCTACCTTGTCCATCTGAGAACAAAGTGTAGTTTTTCTTAAGTACTGTTTAAAGGAATTTTTTCCACAGAGATAATAGTTGGTTGCTCAACTAAATTACTAATGCCACTTATTAGAGGATTTTTTTAGAGGATTGTTTTTGCTTTTCATTTTACAAAGAAGGATCACAATCCTGTTTATCTTACCAGACAGGAAGCACTACTTGCGGCCATCAGTGAAAAAGATGCAAACATTGCCTTGCTGGAATTGTCTGCCTCCAAAAAGAAAAAGACCCAGGAGGAAGTCATGGCTCTGAAGCGGGAGAAAGACCGACTGGTGCATCAGTTAAAGCAGCAGGTGGGGCGTCCTGCACGCAAGGTGTGTCTTGCTGGGTCTGGGGCCTCGGTGCTTTTCCTGGGTTTTGCCACTCTCCATTCTCCCATGTCCATTCTGCAGGCTCAAGCAGCTACAACCAGGTAGGAGCAAAACCCCCTGCACTGTCACCAGAACACTGTGTCACTGCTTCTCCGTGATGGTGTGCATGCAGCTGGGCTTGCGTGATTTGCAGCTGGCACTGCTTTCCTTTCTTTTATATCAGCGTCATCTTCGCAGAAATAGCTCTCAGCTCTCTTCCTTTCAGTAGACTTCCATTTCTAATTAGATCCTAGAAATACCCAATTATACTCTGGGGACTGTCTTTCCCTTCAATCTTGCTCACCTTATGGGATCTGTGAAGAACTCCCCTCATCTAGTTCCAAAAGTTCCTTTCTCTCTCTACTTTTCCAGCTGTTGTTCTTCAGCTGTTTCCTCCAGATCTCTCAGTGAAGGAACCTCTCCCAACTCTAGTCCCACTAGACTAGGCTTAGAGACCTGTCTGTCATGATTTGTTCTAATTCATAGTCACCCCTTTGGCCCCCTTATTCTTTATTTCCTTCTCTCTAGGCCATTGTGCTTGTCTTACAGAAATGGAAGGAGAGAAAGTCCTAACTTTCACAGAACACACTTTGGTTTTTTTTTTTTTTGGGGGGGGGGGTGTCTGGAAGCAGCTTAAGTAGAAATTAATTGTATCTGAAGTATACTAGAAAGCCATCACGGGAATCTACAGATAATATTTCTTCTCCATATATAACTTGGGAAAGGACCACGGTGTAGGTCAGTGGTAGAGAGAACTTGCCTATCCCCGTGTTCTCTCCCCAGCATGTGTGGAGGGTGGGGAAATCACTTCTATGTTCGGTGACATCTTTGGGAAAGCAGCGGTTAAAAATTGTCATTCAGATTCTTGCTTTATAAAGCCTACTCAGCTCAGTGGTGTGTGACCTCATAAGGTGCCTGCCACATCTCAACTATAACCTGTGGCCCTGAAATTCTCCAAATGGCATGTCTCTACATGGATTTGAGGCCCTAGGATTGACACGTGAATGAGCTAAGCTAAGATGCACTGGCCTAAACACAGTACCTGGGAGTAAGCATCCTCACCCTGCAGAATGCCAACTCGTTCCCACCTCAGGAAGGAAAAGGCATTCTTTGAATTTGAGTCCATTTCCTATAGGACTGCCTTGCTGAAAGACAGAGAGAGACCACTGCCATGCCTGGGCTCCTTCTCCTTGCAGAGGGAGGGTCTTGGTTGCTGCCAGACATGGGATCATTCTACAGAGCAGCATGCCTTGCTAGCACTGGCCCCCAGGCGCAGAAATGGCTTTTATCTGGCCTCTTTGTTTGGGGCTATGCATCTTCTACGCTGGGTTTTCTAATCACTTGGCCTCAGAAAGTCAAGATGAGCATCCTTTGCTTCCCCCTAATACCTTACCTGAGCACCCAGCACCCTCCTCTCCTGCACCTAACCATTGTAGCTTTCTCCCACAGGTTTATAGGTCTAGGAAACAGCCCCCGTGCTCAAATGTACCGTGCACTTGTGATGCTGGCTACAGCCCAGATTTTACGGCCAAGTACCACGGGTCCAGCTACGATGCATACATGAGCCAAAGGTCTCAGGTCAGTCAGCTGATAAGGAAACACACCCCACTGAGGGGGGTGGGAGCACAGAAGAACCACTCTCTTATCTTGATTGTCACCTCTTGTGCAGATTTCTAGGACTTGGTGGCTACGAAGTCTGGTACCACGTAAGACAGCTTCATTTTGTTTTTGCAGTATCATTTCTTATATTTTCTTTTTCCCCAGTGATTCCAAACTTGGTGGCCACCACTCAGGGTCAAATAGCTTGGCCAGGCTGCCAAGCCATGGAGGGGGTCGAAGTGTCACTACCAATTCCCTGGGGCTTGTTTTTTCTTTCTATCTTTTAGGTACATGTTTTTTTCTTCATATCACCATCTATTTTGCCATCTAAGACATTTTAAACTGTTTTTCTTTCTCTCTCAGGGTTATAAAAAGTGTGTTCTCCAGTGTCAGTAAGAACTGGGGGAAACTGTACAGAGCCTTCATTCTTGAGACAGGTTCAGCTTGGAGATCCAGGACTGTGTGAGTTAGGCCCCACCTAGACTGAGGCAGAGTTGGAAGGGTTTTTATGAAGAAGAAGAACACGGAGGAGTAGGGTGGGTAAACTTAGCTTTGAAATCTTTCTTCCAGTCCTACCTACAGACAGTGATAAAAATCATACATTTAAGTACCGCCATTGCAAGTGATTATGAATCTAAGAATAATTGTTAATTTACTTGTAAAGTCAGTTTTCTCTCCCTTTTTTTGTTGTGGTATGGGCTTTGTGTTCAGGGTCCCTTAGAGATTTTTTTTTTTCTTAATCATCATAGCCACTCTACACATAGGGGCCAGAATTTCCTCTTTTTAAGGGGCCAAAACTCAGGTTCAAGAGTGTAGAATTATTTAGCCCAAAGACCCACATCTGTTAGTCTGCCTTGGGCTTTATGGCTATATGGCCCCATACAGAGCCTCCACATGCAGGGAGAAATCCTGTGTGACAATTAAAAGGGTATTTCTAGAAATTGTGAAGTTCCTACACTTTATAAACCTGAAGCAGTTGCCTAAATACCCAGGTAAGATATCAAAATGATGCCATCCTGGAGTTCTTAGCCTTAGCTAGTTTGATTACATCATAAGTAATGTCTAGTCATTGTGAGCTCCCACCATGAACTAGGAATGAATCTGAGATCTTTGCATGCATTCACTCATCAAACCCCCAGTAACTGGAAAAGAAGGGAGAGTGATGCCCTTAGAGAGATGAAGGTGATGTCCAGAAAGGCCAGGCAGTTTGCTTAGGCCGTACAGTCTTATGTGGATTTTACCAAAAATATCCCGTCTGGAATTGCTTCCTTTGAATCTGGCTTTTAGACTAGGTGTCTGGACGATTGTAGATGTCACTCTGATCTTCAGTTTCTTTGTTTGTGTATCAGGCTAATAAACTGTGCATACTGCACAAGGCCTGCCAAGTCCTTTGTGTGTGCCCTGCACATAACAAATGTTATATGTATACATGTGATCTGTTCCTTTTATTGCCCGTGCTACCACAACTACTAATTATCAGCACCACTGGTCCCCAGGGGCAGTTGAGTTTTTATTTTATCACCATTGTCCTGCACACAGATGGGAGTCACAGCGCACAGAGAGCATACTGTTAAAGTGCGGTAGAGAGAGCAGACAGATACTGGCCCCTAGCCTTCCTATTCCCCTTCCCCAAACTCTCAAGCCCTTGGAGAACATCAAGCAGACATGGCAAGAGCCCTAGATCCCAATCTCAGCCCATAATGCTCACTAACTTTGCTTGGTTTGTGGGTGCAGCCTGTGGAGATAGATACCATCCAGGGAAGATGAGCTGAGAGCTCTCTTGTTTTCATTTCTTGGCTGTCAGGGACGGCTACCTCTGTGTCTGAGCAGGTAGGTAACAATACTTTCTGGTTTGTGAGATATACCGTGTTATACAAACTACCATATTAGTCAGTGTGTCTTTCCCAAAAAGTCTGTCCACTGCCCAATCCTGGGTGACTGAACCGGTGGAGTTCATTCATCAATCGTCACAGTCATTGAGTCTTACTAAACATAAAGTGGGCACTCAAGGAACATTTGTTGTGGGTATGCTTGATGGGAAGCACCAGTGAAGTTCATCTCTGTCTCTCTCTCACTCTCTCTCTCTCTAATGTCTTTCTTTTTTCCTCTCTCTCTTCAGCAGTCATTTTATCTTCTTTATGCCAGGCCCTCTGCTAGGTGCTGGGGAGTCATCTATTTTCCTACCATATGAGAAAGATAGCAACAAATGGCGTAACCACTGCCTTAGCATCCAACCCTGCCTACAGTGCAGAGCTGGGTTCCAAGGCTGCTGGAGCGCTATGACTTAGCTCTTGCTAGGCTGAACACGGTGACAGGGCTGGCCTTCGTTAGTGCTCCTAGGAATTACAAGAAAGGCAACCACAGCTAGTGTACTCCTCACCTGGCCCAGGCTGTTAGTCCCACACTTCACAGATGTCATCCAGGGAAGCCAACTCCAGTACCTCATCTCAGGGAGGAGAGAAGGGCTTTCTTCCTTAGTGAGACCAGGTTCCCTCTAGGTGTTTGATGTGGCAAGTGTTTACTGAGAACTTAGTGTGTCCTAGAGTATTAGACAATTTTGAAATATCTATTCAGGACTAAAATTAGTGAAGATACCTTTCTTACAGAACTTAGTTTTAACCATTGAATAAAGGGAGTAAACAACCAAATCAGGAACTGCAGGGTAAATCAATCAATCAATCAATCAATCAATCAATCAATCAATCAATAAAATACAGACCAGAGTAAGGAAGAACAGGAGAATGGGAAGGGACTGGGTCCAGAGATTAATTAGGGCAAATGGGAAGGAAAGCCTTGAGCAAAGGCAAAGCAAGGAGAGAAGGAGCCTTGCAGAACCCCAAGGCAGGGCTGTGACAGGGAACGGACAGCCTGCATAAAACACAGTACTTGGGAAGCACTGGCAAGCCAGTAGGCTTCCGGGAGTGAACAAAAGGGGAGCTGCCGAAGCAAGAGAGTGGCAGCCAGTAGTGGGAGCAAGCTGTGTGGGGTGAAGTGAGCTATGCAGGACTCTCCAGGCCTGCTAAGAGAGGCCAGCTCTGGGCTAGACATTGTCAGTAATCACAAAGTAGACTCTACGAGCACGGCCCTAGCGCAGAGCTAAGTCCCTCCACATATGCATGCCAACATCCACTGTTGCAGCCTCTGAGGATTCCCTGTTGGCTTGCAGTCTAGAAACATCGCCACTTTCATTAAAGCTCCAGTGAAGAATCATACCAGGCTGTCACATCTCCTAGGATTTTCAGCCAGTGCTAGAGCAAGGCCCTTTGGCAGAATGCTCCTCTCACTTTCTCAGCCTTTGTACTATGCTTGCAGTCTGACTGTTGTGCCCCTTCTTCTGAGGTGGT